GGGGGGGGGGCGTTTTTTTGTTTCTTTTAATTTTGCAATATTTTAAGAACATTTGAAAAATAGGATGGCAGTGTAAGAATACTTAAGCATTCACTGTTAAGAAACGGTCACAAAGAAGCCACAGATACTTGACAGCTGGACTTATTCTGACATGCCTTCCTGATTGTAGTATCCACAGTAACGGCACTACCTGTTTAGGGCATTAATGTTTCTTGGACAAGAGAAGCAACATTTGACTTCAAGTTTAATCACTCCTTAACCTAGTCATTCATAGGTGGGAATGCAACAACTGGTCTTATTTTTGCACAACAATCTGTGCTGCCAAAGATGAAATGCTTCTTTACAAAATCATTGGAAAGTCACAGGCTATTGTGGAAAACAATCGTTCTGACAGAAGAAAGGGTTTATTACCTCAGGCCACTTCTCCTGGATTACATCGATAATGTCGTCTGTAAAATCCCCCTGAATGATGATTTCATCTTCTCCTGTTACTGAGGCACCGCAGGAAAATTTCTGAGCAAAAAACCTTTGTGCTTCCTTAAGATCAATTTCTGTTGACGGGAAAATGGACAGCTGAAGTACAGTCATTGTCATAAAAGTATTTTCCCAAGCTTAAAACCAAAATCATGTTTTAACTGTTGAAAAACTAGTGTCAGTTTATAGTTAAAGCTTTGCCAGAGTTTCGATTGAAAGCAAAAGTCTGTTGTTTACACGAAAAACAACTGACTCTACAAACCTAGCAAACTCTTCAAGGTAAAAATTGCTGAATGTCCTCTACACATTCTGTTTACACACATCTATGCTACACACACTCACCAGAAAAGCACACGCAGAACCGTTTAAAAAGCACCTCCAGTTCTGAGTAACTTCTGTCGTTATTGAACAGGTTTTTCCACAGAAGTGCTTCAGTATGTTCTCTTCAGAAACATGTTCCGACATCTTTTGAGACTGGCTTCCAGCACAAAGATACATAGCCAGTTCTGATCAAGACAGTGCATTACTGATCCCTCAAGAATACTGACAATATTCTCAAGTGGGAAATATGTGACATATCTTGTTAATACAACCAAGGTTCAAACTTACCTTTTTAACAGAATTTGTGATCAATGTGTGAAGTAAGATGTTGTTATAAACACCAAGTGGCTGTTCACAACTGAACCAAAGCTATGTGGGACAGCATCGTTGGTGTACTTTGGTAATAATTTGACTGCCTTACTGGAAAGGCAGTTAAAGCCTTACTTAATCGGTTGCAAGAGTAGGTAAAATTAATTGTCAAGAACATATTTACAGGTTTGATGGAAATAAGAAACTTATTGAAAATAAACATGTTTATAATTAAAGACAATAGACTGAAGTCTTACAAGTGGCCTGCTATGGGAAGCCCTCTTTCAAAAAAGACCATAACCCTATTTGTTTGAGAACACCATGGAAATAAGGACTTTAATAATTTATCACTGAGGGAAGTCAGTGTACCTTTGGAATGCTTTGGAACTGCTAAAAGCACCTCAGGACTCTCACCTTGCACAGACAGAAGTGGGTCACTCAATGTTAATACAATCAGAAATATCACGAGGTTAAAGGCAAGCACATCTAAAACCAACAAAAAACATCTAACAGAAGTCAACTCACCAAACGTTGCAAGGCCACATACTCTTGTGACATATTTTTTCTTTGCTCTAGGAATTTTAGCTATTGTAACTTTCTGTGGAACAGTCTTCTTTTTCTGTTTTATCTGACCTCTTCCACCTTTAAAACAGAGTACAAGGTTACATAATTAGTTAAATGATGTCATACTTGAAAGAAAAAAGCACATAAGGTCAGACTTCATCCCTATAAACAAAGAAACTGTTATCTCCCCATCTGTGTTGGTAAATAATATATTCTGCATGTTGTCTCACATCAAGGGTTTTTCAGTACTATTTAAGAAAAGTCCCATGTCATCAAAGCTCAATATTACAAGAAATAACAATATCTGCATGTCAAATGTGCGTTCAAGCATAATTATCAAAAAGGGGTTTTCCCCACACTTTACTAATCACTGCATTTGGTCTACATCTAAGCCCTCTTTCAGAGGGCTCTTTCTTTGGTTGTAATCCTAGGAACAAATTGCTACTTCCCTGTTTTTCATGAGTTTAACATCCTCAGGGTTTGTGTCCAAGGCAAAGCAACTTACGTCCATTTACTGAGGCCGTGAGGACATGCCTACTTGGGCTGCTGGGTTAAACAGCAGATTAAGTTCTAGATATCCATGCACAACCCCCGTATGAACGATATTTTTCTACAGGAGCTAGCAGAAAACACCACGCCTCTGAAACAGAAGCCAGCTACAGTAGTTTACTGCCAAACTTCCACATGATTTAACACCTTCTTTCTTACTGTCTGTTTCTAGGCCAACCTGAGGGAACACTTCACATATCAGGCATTTATTAGTCTGAGTAAAGCATGCAAAATATATATTCCACTCATTAGGATTCTTCAAGTCAGATTAAGATCTCGGCTAACTTTGTGTACACTCATCAAGTTACGCCAGGGTAACCAAAGTTCCATGTTCTTGAGCCTTCTCAGCATGAAAACCTAAAGAATTTATGACAAGCAAACCAACCCCTTGTGACTGCTGCTTCTTCTAACATGCAGCACTTTCAATTCTACATTGCTGTAAATTGATATCCAATAATTTAAGACAGTACATTTCCATCTTAAAATTTCTTCAGTAAATATCTGTAGCATCTTAGTAAGTTTTTGCTTGGTTTTCCTCACCCTCTCTCTTACGGTCAATCTTACACCATTACACTTAACAACATACCGTAAGTTTTCATGACACTTTAGATTCTGGGAGAAAAATCTAACTGAAAACTAACCATACCACCCCACGCAATAAATGACTGTTGAAATAAAATGTCCTGAAGTCTCTGGGAAAAGCATGCAAGCTACAGAACGTAAATTACTGTTGTCACTACACATAGCCTACTGACAAGGTAAACCAAATTGGTTACCAAGACACAAAAATAAAACATCTGCAGTGATATGTGGCTTAAAATCTGAATCTTACTGGGCTATTAACCCTAATTTCTGAAGCACTACAGACACAACTGACACTCCACAGGCAAATGCACATTAATCACCCCAGCATTCTGATTAATGGTGGAAAATATGTTAATTAATTAAATAGAAAGAATTCCAATGGTAGAAGATAAAAGTGTGTTTAAATTAATGTATTTTATATCTTCCAAAATTGTTTTTTTGAAAATGTTTTTCATTAGCACTGCTGGGAAGAGTCATAGTTGTTAATGGAGACATAGGTGATACTGTTGAAAGCCTAAAACCAAATCCTGTCATGTGAATACACAGGAGGGGTGGAAGCTAAAAAGGCAAAAGCAGCATGATGAGGCATTAATAGAGGAAAGCAGTCTTTGTTCTACTCTGCAAGCAACCTATAAACTGCTGTTAAACAGGGCAGAAACAAGTATTCTGGGAGGCATGCCAGTTGATTTTAGGTCGAGAAGAATTACTCCCAGAATAAGTGCAACGGCAATGCCAGGAACAACGAGACACATGCTGCAGTTCATCTTTCACTTGCTATTACTACTATCCAATTCTTCCATCAGCATGTATCACCGCTCTAACTCTGCTACCACTGGAAGAAAGAGATTCGGTATCTTTTGTGCAGAGTCAAAGCGTAACTAACAACCAAAATGCAAGGAATCCATGCCATAGACCAGATCAGCAGGTGAGAAAGGGATGCCCCAAACTGCTTATAAATCAGTACCGCAATCAACTATTTAGACCTTGCCTCTCTTTTGCTTCTTCTTCTCTTCTTCTTCTCCCGCAGTTCCTTGGCCTTCTCCAACTCCAGCATCCTGTTTAGGTGAATTTTCTTAAATACATCAGAAAGGAGTGGGGAGAAGAAAGAGAAGAAAATTACTGGTCAGATAACCACAGCCTGACAGGAACAGGAAGTAAGGTACAGCGATACTTTGCTAAGTCCATAAACTCTTTGCTCAAGTGCAGCAGCAGCCCCTTGAGTGATGAGTGTTACATCTTCAGCATAGTACTTACACAAATTAGACTTCAGAAAAGCCTTAGCTCAAAGATGCAGTTACCATTTCAATACAGTCTCTTCACATAATTTCCACAGAGAGACAGAAATTAATGACAGTGTTAATATTGAAATTCCACATGCAAATCAGCAAGTTCCCCATTATTAATGACCTTTCTTCCAGCCATCCACAGCAGACTAAACAGACATAAAATAATAATAAACTAACTTTGATGGGAAACAAGTACATGGATGACTGGTCATAGTAGGAACCTTAAGAAAGCTCAAACATTATTACTGAAACTACACGTTGTTTATTCAATGTTTTCTGATATCATCAAACATATTTTCACAGCATCCAAAAGCATGGTAGACTCCTAAGAAAGTGATTAACTTTCACACTTGATACAGCAGGAAAAGAGAACAGATGAGAATTGGACAAGCTCAAAGATTTCTGAATACATCTACAGGCACATATCAATTGGAAAACAGAAAAGATTCTTACCTACTGTAAGTTTTGCAAACTCATCTGGAAAATTCTTTTCTAACCATTGTCTGCATTTAGTCACATCAGGCATGTATTCACAGTACTAGAGAAGAAAGGTCACAGGAATGTTGTTAGCAGAGTAACTACAAAGTATGTCACAAATACACCAAAATATACTTGCTATTCAGCTCAGCCATTTCTCCTTAAGATGACTGAATACAAATACTATACTAGCACATAAGAAACCTTGTGTGATCCTAAAGATGACAGTGGTTTAAGCACGGAACTACCACAATTAAGAAAAGCCAGAAAAGATCAGAAAGAATCATCATAGTCAGGAATCATAGGACAGAAAGAAGAAACTCGGACAACAAAAAGATTAACTCACCTCTGTTGGCAATGAACAGACTGGAGAAAGAAAGGAGGGAAAAAAAAAAGCATAAATTACAAAAAGTACTCCACTTACAGCCTTAGTGTTAAATTCAAAATGGTATTTTAAAGTTAGGGATGACTCCTTACGTCGTAACTTCTGGTTATAACCACACATTAACTCAAAAAGATTACTTTATTGATACCATTCCACATTTTAATTTTTCTCTCATTGGTCACTTGCTCATATGCTCTGCATTAGGATAAAACTACCACAGCAAGAGCAGCCAGTCAGTGAAGGAAGGGAAGGAGATGCCTACAGCTTTGGGAAAAGTTACAGAAAGAAACACCAGTTCTACCTGAGGCAAAAGATAAAATACCTAATATTACCTAATAAATTACCATGTGATTTGGTTAGCTTTCCTTTTTCCAAGAGCAGCTCGGCACTAGAACAAACCCAAACCAATTGTGTAGACTTTCAGGCACAACAGGGATTCTTTCCTAATCCTCTGCAACTGTATTCAAGCCCAAAGCAGAATAACATACCTATCTAAAAAACATACCTGTCAAGATTATTTACTTCCCTTTAAACTTCATCCACGTAACTACAAATGTAATGAGTAAAGAATAATTCTAAACACAGTGCAACAATTACTTTCATGAATTCTAACTTTATTTCTTCTTGTCATACTAATGCTCAAGGGCCTTTTCTGTGCTAAAGGCTTTACTGGTTTTCTGCAAGAAGAGATCTCTGCTGAACAGTTCACAATCTGAGCACCACTCCCACTTCTTTTATACACAGAAAGCAGTTAGTATCTCCATCTCTCAGGGGGAAGACACCTACATTTCACCAAAATGCTTTAAATAAAATACACAACACAAGCTATTTCAGAAAGACAATCAGAAAGGTCAAGCTGACCGTGGTCTAGCTTCTCAATAAATGCTGACCAAAAGAAAATCTCTGATTCTCTCATTTCTTCTGCTATGTTGCCCTCACAAACAGCACATTGTAAGAATCGTGGATAACTGTCCCTTCAGCACTTGCCTCCGCAGTAGAGAACCCGAAGAGGATAGTCAGCATCTGACCTGGGACCACTCCTTACGTCTCCTCTGCAGTCAGGAACCACAGGCTCAGCTACATCTGTGGCCATGTCACAAGCCTGGAGGTCACAGAACAAAAGAATCAGGACCTAAGTTCTGGGTTAAAGTTATTCACATCTTTCCCAAGTCAACAAGAATCCCAGAGACTGACAAATCCCAGAGAAAACAGGTACAATTGTAAGAGGAGCAGGGGAGATCAGGGAGGAAAAAATAAGAGTCAAGAATTAATGCCACAAAATGCAGTGTAAAATGAAGAAAGATCTGCGGGAACACCACATGAAATGACACAACATACTGGGTTAAGCAAAATGTGAAATATCACATTAAATCAGTGGCATATGAACCGCAGGTGCACTGGGGGAGTCGGGGGAAGTACTGCCAGTATACTAGCAAAGAAAAGGAGTCATTTACATCAGCATCTGAAGAGTTACAATCTGATCCTAGGACACCAGCAAAAAACCTCAAATATCACAAAACAAGCAAACCAAACTCAACCGACATTTAGTAATGGTTTACGCACACACATTTTCAGGCAAGGGGCTTATAAAATAGGAGCCAACAGCAAAGGGGTTTGCAACGCATAAGAAGTCCCCCAGGACCATGGGAGCAAGCAGGTTATGTGTGCGGAAGACTCAGAGCCAGAAAGCTGTACAAGTTGTGCCTGGGCGGTGAAGAGAGCTGAGGGAAAATGCCGGGGTGCCAGGGGTGGTGGGGTTCGCGGTAGGGGGACCTCAGAGCAAGGCCGTAGACAGTCCTGGTCAGGGGAAGGAGGCT